CACAAGGTCAGGAGTTTGAGACCAGCCTGGCTCACATGGTGAAATCCCGTCTCTACTAAAAATACAAAAATTAGCTGGCCATGGTGGAAGGTGCTTATAATCCCAGCAACTCGGGAGGCTGAGGCAAGAGAGTCACTTGAACCTGGGAGGCAGAGGTTGCAGGGAGCCGAGATCGCGCCATTACACTCCAGGCTGGGCGACAGTGCGACACTCCATCTTTTAAAAAAGAAAAGAAAAGAAAAGAAAACTCTAATTAGCTGAGTGTACTAGTGTGGGCCTGTACTCCCAGCTACTTGGGAGGCTGAGGTGGGAGGACTGAATGAGCCTAGGAGATCGAGGCTGCAGTGAACTGTGATCACACCACTACACTCCAACCTGGGCAATATGGCAGGACCCTGACTTAAAAAAGTAAAAAATGAATAAAAATTGGTCAGATGCGGTTCATGCCTGTAATCCCAGCACTTTGGGAGGCCAAGATGGGTGGATCATTTGAGGTCAGGAGTTCGAGACCAGCCTGGTCAACGTGGTGAAGCTCTATCTCTACTAAAAATACACAAAAATTAGCTATGTGTGATGGGCACCTGTAATCTCAGCTACTCAGGAAGCAGAGGCAGGAGAATCACTTGAACCTGGGAGGCAGAGATTGCAGTGAGCTCAGATCCCACCACTGCACTCCAGCCTGGGGGACAGAGTGAGACTCTATCTAAAAATATATATGTATATATAAAAATCATATTTTATATTTGTATCATATTTGATTAAATTATTGGTCTTCAATGGATTAGGGAGTAAAAAATAGCCAGTCTCCTGCACAGATAGCTTAAGAAGCACTGGATTGGAGCCTCATGGGTTTTCTGAGGCCTAAAGAAATGTTTAAGAACTTGGGGTGGGGGTAAGCTATATTGTTACCAAAGGTGTGGGAAAAATAAAACCTTGCCAAATCAGAATTAACCTGTATTTAATGAAAGGCATAAAAACCCAACATTGGCCGGGCGAGGTGGCTCATGACTGTAATCCCAGCACTTTGGGAGGTGGAAGTGGGTGTATCACCAGAGGTTAAGAGTTCAAGACCAGCCTGACCAACATGGTGAAACCTTGTCTCCACTAAAAATACAAAAATTAGCAGGGCATGTGGTGGCATATGCCAGCTACTTGAGAGGCTGAGACAGGAGAATCGCTTGAACCAGGGAGGCGGAGCTTGCAGTGAACCAAGATGGTGCAACTGTACTCCAGCCTGGGCAATAGAGTGAGACTCAGTCTCAAAAAAATAAATAAATAAATAAAATTAAATTAAAATAAAAAACCCAAAATAATACCAACTTGGTTAATTGCTGAATTTCACCTACATCAGTCATTCTATATATATGTAAATGCAAATGAAATGATGTCAGCAAGAATTCCTGGCTAGGGGTGCTGGCTTCAGAGAAACAATAGCTGAAGGCAAATGAGATGAGTTTCTTAGGGATGAGTCATTTCAAGGCATAGTATGAAAACCATTTCAGATGTCTTCACAGCTTCTAATGGAGGGTGTATTTTAATAATGTGTTTCCTGCAAAATGGCAGGGCCTTTGAAGGT